TATATATATATAGTTCCAATGAAAAGTAAAATATAGTATGATATATCTGAGCCTAAAAACAAAGACATTTTTATTTATTTTCTAATTGCTGCAGATAATTAACTAAATTTTTCTCTTTTATTTTATTTGTTTTAAATGATAGATTTTGAAAAGTCTAACAGTGGCTGCTGTGGAACGGGCTTATTGGAAGCTTCATTTATGTGCAACCCAAAATCGTATATTTGCCCAAATGCATCAAAGTATGTGTTTTGGGATTCAATACATCCAACTGAGAACACATATTACCTCATCTCTCAAGCACTTCAGCCAACTATTGATTCCATCACCAAGAACTAAAATATGTACATTATATAAATCCTCTTATCCTGTCATTATTCGTTGTATTATTTGCTTACACTGTCTTATTATATTGTTGTTGCTATTGTTTCTCTATTGCTCCATTTTTTTTACGTTCTTGAGCCGAGGGTCTTTAAAAAACAGTCTCTCTATCTTCATAGGTAGGGATAAGGTCTGCGTACACACTATCCTCCACAGACCCCTCTTATAAGATTTCACTGGGTTGTTATTGTTGACTCAATTATTATCCACTTTTATTTAAATTGCCTTTGAAGGAGCCAAATTCGTCATTTTAAGACGAGAAGGACAGCTACAATATGTTTTGAAGGAGAATATTCCAAATCGAAATTAAGCATTAGAAGACCATCTTATCTTACTGTCGTTACTGTTTGGTGTTATTGTTCTACCTTCTCAAGATAGGGGTAAGGTTTGTATATAACTATCCTTTGTAAACCCCACTAGTGGGATTATATTGAGTTTGTTGTTGTTGTTGTTTGTTGTGATCTTTTTAAGGTTAGTAATTATTTTTGAATGACTAAAATTAAATGAGAAGGTTACTCTCTTCAATTTTCGTCACATCCGACTTCGTTTGATCACCACCAAGGATTTGATTGAATGGACTGAATCCCTCCACCCTTAGTAGAGGTTTCAGATTGAGACCTAAAATAGGAAAAATAGTCATAGGCAGCGATGCCCCTCTGTCGGAAGTCGGAACACCAATATAAAGTACCGAACATCGAGCGAGAAACAAAAAAAGGACAGCCCGGTATACTAAGCTCCCGCTATGTGCGGGATCTAGGGAAAGGCCGGACCACAAGAGTGTGTAGGTGGTTCTCACTCAAAATTGAGGGAGTCTCACAACTTATATTCTCCTTGCTTCTAGAGGATGAACTGCCTGACAGCAAAAGAAATTTTGCTACTTGCTCCAATCATCTCTTTAAGCTAGCATACCCGAATAATTTATTGTCTAGCCTGGGACAAGCAGCACATCCGTTGTAGTCTAGTTGGTCAGGATATTCGGCTCTCACCCGAAAGACCCGGGTTCAAGTCCCGGCAACGGAAAATATTTTGTGTAATAATTTGAAATTTGCTTTTCTTACGTTTGCATCCACTAGCCTGGGATAAATGACCAAAATAAGGCAACTAATAAAAAACCTAGCAAACCTGCAATTGCATTTTGGGAATGTTGGTCTCTACCTATTTTATGTGATCATTTCATATATTTATGAGTACATCAATCACATATACATAGGGCCATTTTATCTGTAAAAATCACCAAACTACACTAATTTATCATGCTTAAGAGTCCGTTTGGCTTAGCTGATTTTGAGTAGCTGATAAGCATTATGTGCTGAAAAACACTTTTAAGTGCTAAAGTTAATTTAATAAATTAGCAGTTACGTTTTGGATAAAAGTGCTGAAATTAATAATAAGCAGCTAAAACTGTTTGATTAAAAAGTGCTGATAAGCTATTTTTATGTTAAATTAACTTAAATGACCTTATAACAATTTACACTACTAAAAACGTCATCTTCTTCAAAATTTTAGATTTTACATAGATTCAGATACAAAAGTAACCTATTTATCATGTTATTTTAACTATAAAAATGATTAGATAATATCTTTTTTTACAAATATACTTTATGTTATGTCAAGTGTACAATCATAAATTAGAATTGGTGGAGTATAAATTAACAAAATTAAAGAAAAAGCTTTAAATAATGCACACAATATTTGCAGAGAAGAAACATGCACTTAATATGTATTGTTTATGGTAAATAAAATTAAAATATTCAACTATCATAAATATCTTGAGCAATCAGATCACGAATTGCATCCAAATATTATTATTATCTCCTTGATTTTCTATATTTTCTTCATTTCCAACATTGACTCTTGCGGATCTTCCAACATCAGGATCAACGCGTGGCACATATCTCTCAATCTCAGCTTCTTGGAATGCATTGTCCACCTTACATTTCTTTTTAATGTAATTATGAATCACCATTGTAGCCAGTACGATTCAGTTTTGAATACCCCTAATAGTGATGACTTTCAACGAGCGAATTACACAAGAAAGCATTTTGTACCCCCAAAAAATAAAAATAAATAAGAGAAAGTATTCAAATTAATCTTGTACAACACTCTTTTGTTTTTTATACTACTATTTACTACACCAAATCCACGTAAAAATATACAACTAGAAGAGTAGGAATCTTACTTGAGGCTAACAGTACAAGTCACGTATATATAACTATATGAAGAAGACAAGTAAATCTCATTACCTCAAATTGTCGACAGAAACGGGCTGGAGAATTGCAGAGGCACGGGCTGTTTAGGTTTGAAGAACTGAGAGAGAGTGAAACTCTATGAAGAGTTTTTTTTTTTTTTTTAAAAGAAGCATTTTAGAGATAGAATAGTAAATTTTTGGTCAAATCTAAAGTGCTTAAAGCTGAAATTTGATAAGTTGGGGGACACCAACTTATGGCTTTTGGCTTATTTTTCGCTTATAAGCACTTGACTTATAAGCAATTTTAATTTTACCAAACACGTAGAATATGCCAAAAAGTGCTTATAAGCCAGTTTGACCAGCTTATAAGCTTAGCCAAACACCCTCTAAGTCATACATTGAGGTATGCGAATACATGTGTCATGCACTTATTGGTATAAAAATCACGCGTAGTCAAGTTTTACCCATTTTATTATTGTTAGTGCAATTTAACCGCATTAGATATTTCCACCAAACTTAAACTATACTAATTTATCATGATTAATTAGTTTTTATATAAAAGTGTATGGGAATACATGTGCCATATATTTATTGATTTGGTGTAAACACATTTTTATCAATTTTTCACACAAAAGTTTTCCGGAAAAAATTTACGAACTGTGCACGTAAGTCGAGGAGTGCTGAATGATGCTATTCGAGGTCTCAAAACACAGTGATAAATATTTAAAATTAAAGATGACATATCGGGCCATTACAATTTTAACTTTAAAATAACGAATACTAAAGATCACATATATGAATCTAAAAATCACGGAATATCAAAAGCATAGGTGTTTCTGCCTCTGAAAACTTGAAAGTTAGTTGGTCAAGAATAGCCTCAAAAGTCAATTTCTCAATCAGATAGAACAATTGATATTGCAACATTAAAAATTTATGGTTGTGAAATAAATTGAATTCTTTTTTGGGTGTATACAAAAAATGTCTTAATCAGGAAAAGTGTTACATATGCATGTACTACTATATAATGTAATTTGACCACACACAAAAAAAATCTATGATTAATTTTTATTCTATCAGTGTATTGTCAGTGTTCTCATGAATTCGGAAAATCATATTAGTATTCAGATGAATTCGGGAAATCATATTAGTATTCACTTTAATACTAATCGTATTTATTTGTATATCTGACACAGATCCAAAAAAACTTATGATTAATGTTTATTCTATCAATGTAGACTATCTCTAACTATTTCCCGAGAATGGAGAGGAAAAATTAGGAGAAGCGCGTGTCACAAACAGACAAAAAATTATGTATGTGTGTGTGTGAATTGGCATGTTTTACTTACAAGCTAAGTTCAATTTCACTGCTGTGTCTCATAAATTAAACCTTAAAATTAAGTTTATTTGAGAATTGTTTCATAAATTAAGATGTTCAAATTAATATGATGAATTAGGAGAAAAGTTATTGGAAAGATCGACCTTTCACATGCATGCATACCGCAGCATGTGAAATTTCTGGGACTAAGTTAGAAAAGAACGAAAAAGGTGCATTACTCGAAAAGCTTCTTAAATATACAGCACTAATTATATGTATATGTCATTGGTAGGGGTGTACAAATCGAACTGCAAAATCGTACCAAATCAAAAAGTCAAACCAAATAGAGTAAAAAGGCCTATTAGGTTTGGTATTGAATATAAATTCCAAATCAAAACGACATATAAATATAAATTTTTTATATATATACTTTTAAGACTTTTTATATAATTTTCTTTATACAATATCTAGAAATATTTGTGATTCTCCTATGGGATGCAATATTTAGGTAAATATGAAGTATACATATTTATTAACTTTCAATAATAGATTGTATGATCACTTTCTTATCAAGTATTAGTGAAATATGTCAATCTCTTTGTTCTTCCATGTTCATATGTCAAGATCTATTAAATTCTTATATCTTTTTCGAATTTGAAATTGTATTTCGATAATTTAAAATTAAATAGAACATACCATTATATGGGTTCATATTTATTTTTATGTTTAATTATTAAATTTGGTTAACCTTTAAGTGTACGTCAACGTAAAATTATTGCCAGAGGACTAAAAAATACTACTCCATCCGTTTCAAATTAGATGAGGTACTTTCCTTTTTAGTTTGTTCCAAATTAAATGACACATTTCTAAATTTGAAAATAATTTAACTTTAAACTCTTCATTTTACCCATTGTACCCTTAATGAGAAGCTCTTATAACCACACAAATGTCATGGCCCCACAAAGCCTTTACCCCTTAACCTTTTAATACCACAAGTTTCAAAAGTCTTTTTTTTTTCTTAAACTCCGTGCCGAGTCAAAGTACCTCATCTAAATTGAAACGGAGGGAGCATCATGTGTCACTAAGAAATTCTTCAATAAGAATATTTTAATATATCATATATTTGTCTTTTTTTTTTTATTTTTACTAAACATATATTTACTTATAAAAAATTTAACAAAGTGAGATTGAAATAATATTCATATAGCAAAAAAAATCTGAAAAACCCAACAAACCGAACCAATCCAAACCGATATAGTTGGTTTGGTTTGGTTTTGATAAAAAATCGAACCAATCCAATCCACGTACGCCCCTAGTCATTGATAGCCGCATAAAAAGAGAAGCTCCCTTTAATAAAAGTGTCTTGTTACCAAATCCCTTTTCTTTGATACATATATATACCATTGCATATGGAAAAACACTCTAATTGTTCACGATAATCAATTTTAAGATTCATTGTAAATATTATTATTTCAGTTATATGATTTTCTAAAAGATCGGTAAATTAAATAAAACATATTTTTGTAGGATTATTTTCTTTATTCAACTGATAAGAGATCATGTAATACTTTTATTTTATGAACGTGAAATATATTATATTTATTTTGTAGAACTTTGTAAAGAAGTTATAAAGTAAAACAAAAATGTGAAACAAGGAAGTAATATTGATCAGGATAACATGTTAATAGACCGAAAGGGCGCAATAAGAATTAGCTGAGCCCCAATCCATTATAAAGAGCAGATGTGATGAGTTGAACCACACATCATTCATCAAAAAGCATTATTATGTCATACTCACTTAATTATGTTATCGTCCTTTGTCTCCTTGTTGTTTCATCCTCCCACTATTTTTTCTTCTTCTCCTTTCTCTTCTTCTCCACACGTTCTTGAGCCGAGGGTCTATAGGAAACAGCCTCTCTATCTCTCCAGGTAGGAGTAAGGTATACGTACATATTACCCTCTTCAAATCCCATATGTGAAATTATACTGGGTATGATGATGACGACGACGACGACGACGACGACTCACTTAATTATGGAATTGGTTACAATACTCTTGCTTTTTACCCTTGTGTGTACCCCGAAGTTACGAATGGCCAATATCACTATATGATGTACGTGTTAGAGCCACCTATTTATTGTACCATAAACCGTTGCGAACCCGGCGCCATGAAACGCTTCTCCGTCCACGGGCTTTGGCCAGCAGATGTTAGAGGAAAAAGCTTAAATAACTGTCCAGGACCTTCAACTGATGAAGACAAAAAAGTAGATACCATGGTATGCTAGCTGTTTTCTTTTTAATTCTTTTTATTATATGTAATTATCTTTTTGTATAATTTTATACTTGTTTATGCTTTGCGTGCATAGTTGGACATGGACAAAACCTTGGAAGCAGATCTCGGAGTTATTTGGCCAAATTTGGAATACGGCGGTATAAACCGAAATTTCTGGAAATACCAGTGGGAGAAACATGGACTGTGTTCAGTTCAGTCACTCTCACTTATGGATTAGTTCAAGGCATCAGTAACAGTGCATCACAATATGATTGCAATAAATAACAAGAAGAATCTGCTCGGCTACTTGATTGATGCAAACATTAGACCATCCAACGTTACTGTTCGAAAAAAAAAGGGACATAAACAATGCCTTTCATAAACTGGTTGGTAACAACAACGATATCTACATCTCATGCAAGATGAATAGCAATCATATTCTTCTGCATGAGATATACTTATGTATGGACGCTACGTTGAAGCAATTCGTTTCATGCCCACCAAGCAGCAACGCAAGAGGCTGTATCCAGGGGTCCAACATTATAATTCCTCAGTTCTAGAGCCCGTTTGGATTGACTTATTTTAAGTGTTTTTAAACCAAAATAGCTTTTAAGTCATTTTGTAGTCTTTGGATAAAGTGAAAAAGTGCTTTTAAGCACTTATTTTTAAGCTAAAATGACAAAAATAAGCCGAAAGTCATCAAAAGCTAGAATTCCTAACTTATGGCTTTTGACTTAAAAGTCACTTAAAACAAGCTCATCCAAACGGGCTCCTAGTCTTATTAATTAAAGGAAACGTGAATTAGGAAGTAATTCCCTTGTAACATGCTTCATTTCAATTTAAATGAATTTTAGAACCCATTTTTAACTTTAGTAGCAAGTGTTTTACCAAATGATATGTTGCGATATGTATGCATGCATCCGTATAAATTCAAAAATAACTAGATTTATAAGTGATCATTCAAAAATAGCCACAGCTTTAAAAGTCATCGAAATTTAACCACTTTTCATGTAAAGATAAATCTGAACGAAAATACTTTTCAAAATCCGGAAAATACTCCAGTATAATATACTGGAGTTCCAGTATACTTTGTTGGAACTCCAGTATATCCAGCAAAGCATACTGGAACTCTAGTATATTATACTGGAGTTTGGAGTTCCAGTATATTATACTGCAGCCAGCGAAGTATACCGGTCCAGCATAATATGCTGGAAGTTCATACACAGGTACACAGGACTCCAGTTTATTATGTTTGGCCTGTAACGATTGAGCCGGTCGTTTTGAGAGTTGCAGCCCCGTTCCCCCATTTTCTGGTTCGTTTGTGTCATACATATGTATTATGCTATACCGGGTTAGTTGGTTCGAGTCCGAAGTGATTTCAGAATGAATTGAGACACTTAGTCTTATTTGAAAGCTTAAGTTGGAAAAAGCTAACCAGATGTTGACTTATGTGTAAATGACTTCGGATTCGAATTCTGATGGTTCCGTTAGCTCCGTTAGGTTATTTTGCACTTAGGAGCGCGTCCGAAATATGATTTGGAGGTCCGTAGTAGTATTAGGCTTGAATTGGCGAAAGTTGAAATTTTGGCGATTTTGGTCGGCAGTATCGACGTTGGATTGGATTTTAGAAAGTTGGAGTAGGTTCGAGGTGTCATTTTTTACTTGTGTCTAAAATTTGAGGTCAATTGGACGTGGCTTGGTAGGTGTAACGACCCGGCCGGTCGTTTTGAGCAATTGTACTTCGCTCGCTAGTTCTCGGGAATGAGTAGCTCCGTATGATGTATTATAACTTATTTGAATCGTCGGTTTTGGTTTTCAGGTTATTCGAAATTGATATGGAAGAATGTTTCTGAGCTTGAAGCTTTAAAATTTGAAAGGTTAGACCAAGTCTGGCTTTTTAGTATTTGACCTCAGATAGGATTTTTGATGGTTCCGTTAGCTCCGTTGCGTGATTTTGTACTTAGGAACGCATCCGGATCGTAAGAGGTCCGTAGTGGAATTTGGCTGGAAATGGCAAAAGTTGGAATTTTAGAAAGTTTGACCGGGAGTGAATTTTTGGATATCGGAGTCGGATTTCGATTCCAGAAGTTGGAGGAGGTTTGTAATGTCAAATGTGACTTGTGTGCAAAATTTTAGGTCAATCGGACGTGATTTGACAGGTTTCGGCATCCGTTGTGAAAGTTTGAAGTTTCAAAGTTCATTGATTTCGAACTGGGGTGTGATTCGTCATTTCGTTGTTGTTATATGTGTTTTGAGGCCTCGAGTAGGTCCGTGTTATGGTATGCGACTTGTTGGAATGTTGGGACGTGGTCCCGAGGGGCTCCGGCGTGTTTCGGATTGATTTTGGGCTATTTTTCCTTCATTTTTCATTGTTGTATTTTGCTGGTTTTCTGGTGTTTTAGCTATGCTTCGCGATCACGGATGGAGCATCATGTTCACGAAGGATAATTTGGCCAGTGCAGAGTTTTGTTCTTCGCGTTCGCGCTTTGTTGCTCGCGTTCGCGGTGGGTTAATGATGTGTTCTTCGTGTTCGCGTATAAGAGATCGTGTTCGCGTAGAGTTGAGCTGGGAGATGGAGCAGGAGGACCTTTCTTCATCGCGTCCGCGAGGCTCATGTCGTTTTCGCGTAGTTATGTCTCCAGTGTGTATCGCAATCGTGAGGCTTGTTCCACGAAGGCGTAGAGCATTTTTGGGAGCTGATATTTTTGTTCATCGCGAACGCGATGGTTATCCCGCATTCGCGAAAGAGGAGTCCTGGGAAGACTATTAAGTACTCTATGGCCATTTTTTGCATTTTGGGAGCTATGGACCTCGGATTATATAATGACCCAAAAGGTCATCTTATAATTTAAAAGTTAATTCTGCATTCTGAGGCCTTCAAATCCCATTTTAGTTCTCCTCGATTTACGTGCGCAGTTCGGGCATGCTTCTGGAAAGCCTTCATGTGTAAAATTGCTAAAGTAATAATTTTATTGCAAAAAGTTAATTTTAGTTGAATTCGGTCAACATTTTGGGTAAACGGACCCGGACCCGTATTTTACGATCCTGGCAGGCCCGTCGTAAAATATGGGACCTGGGAGTATGCTCGAAATCGAATTCCGAGGTCCCAAGCCCGTGAAATAAATTTTTGATGAAAATTGTAAGACTGAAAATCTAAGGAATTAAAGAAATTGATTAATGTTTGGTCTCGTTGGTATTAGGCCCGTATTTTAGTTCCGGTGCCCGGTACAGGTTTGATATAATATTAAAGTCATGTTTGTGAAATTTTGTGAAAAACGGAGTTTATTTGACGTGATTAGGACATTGGGTTGAGAAAATAAAAGTTTGAAACTATCTTGAAAATTTCATGCAATTTGGTGGTAAATCCGTAGTTTTTGATGTTATTTTGACAATTTTATCGTGCGAGCAAGTTCGTATGATATTTTAAGACTTGTGTGCATATTTGATTTGGAGCCTCGAGGGCTCGAGTGAGTTTGGGATAGGCTACGGAGTGATTTGGAACTTAAGAAAAATTGCTGGTGTGTTCAGGTCTGCAAGTCTCGCAAATGTGAGGCCTGGCTCGCAAATGCGAGCCTCGCATTTGCGAAGGAAGGTTTGCATTTGTGAGCAATGGGCTGGGAAGGGGACCTTCGCAATTGCGATCAGAAAAGGCCTCATTTGCGAACAACTGTTCGCATTTGTGATGACAACAGGTCCAGGCATATTTCGCATTTGCGAAGTAAAGTTCGCATTTGCGGGGTTCACAATTTCGAACCCTTGATCGCAAATGTGATACCTGCAACTATTCAAAAAAGATTTTGGACGGGTTTTTTCATTCATTCTCCCATTTTTCAAAACCTAAACTTCAAGAGGCGGTTTTCCAAAGACCATTTATTCCCCAAATCATATGTGAGTGATTCTTAACTCATTTCGTTCAATCTTTTACTTCTTTTCACAAGATTTCATCTTAGAATCTAGGGTTTTCCATGACAGAATTGGGGATTTTTGGGTAGAACTTAGGGATTTCATAATTTGGGGATTTAGACCTCAAATTTTGGTCGGATTCCAAAACCAATTGTATATCCGGGCTCGGGGGTGAATCGGTAATCGAGTTTTCGTCTGAATTTCGGGTTTAGACCAAGCAGACACAGGGTTGTTTTTTGACTTTTTGCGAAAAATGTTGGGAAAATTTAATTATGCATTGGAATTGATTTCTTTAGCGATAATTGATGTTATTAAGTTAATTATGAATAGATACGAGTGGATTAGAGATGGAATCGAGAGGTAAAGCGGTAATCGAGCTTTGAGTTGGTCGTGGTATTGATGTAAGTGTTGTGCCTAACTTTGATTTGAGGGATTAGGGATCCCCGGCTTATTTTCTATGTGGACATTCATGTGTGACGCGTATAGGTGAGGTGACGAGTACCTATGCGCCACCAAATTATCTGTTTAGCCTGTTCCTTTCCCCTGTCCCCAATATATTGTTCTCCTGTCTTAACTGCTACATGCTTATTGGTATTTCCATGATTAGTTGTTTCTTGTTAAATGTTGTTTTTTTGCTGAAAGTATTAATTATTCCGTAGTTTCATTGTACCTCATTATTTGTTGGAGTTGGCTTATCGGTGTTTTAGGATATAACTTGGTTGGTCTCGCTGTGTGGTATAAACTGAGCAAAGTTCCATAATTGTATATCTTTCTATTTACTTTGGTTGAGGCTTTGTTATTGTGGAAGGTTTTGAGCTAACTGGTGAAATTATGTTCTTATTGTGTGTTTCGTACTGATATATATATATATATATATATATATATATATATATATATATATATGCAAAACAGATCTACAAAGATCTCACCTATCAATACCAAAACCCATTTCTTGGAGCCAAGTTTCTCTACCACAAAACTGGTTACTACAAGATGCCACTCAAGCTGAAAAACCAGAAAATACTACGGTCTCTCAGATCCAACAATATTCTAGCGGATCTGTAGCCATTTCATTCCAGAGATCATTTAGCCAAAGAGTCTCTGTCTCATCCTCTTCGACACAGTCTGAGATTCAGCCTGGAAGACATTCAATATCTTCTTTTCCTTCTAGGATCGAAACAGTTAATTTTGACTCTAGGATCCCACAAGCCAAATATTTGCCAAAATCCTGATTTTAGATCAAATTTTGAAAAGATAGTTGTAGCATAAAGCCTTTGAAGTAAATCCTGAAAATTCTCAAAAAACCAAGTTCTTTTGAAAATATTTTCTGGTGAATAAAAATTTGCT